ATTCTAAGTGTATCAGGGGGCAAAGCATCATTACTGCTGTATTGAAACTCCTTGAAAATGTTTTCCAGTGCGCAAAAGATGCAGCTTTTACCCATACAATAATGGCCTTTGATTTCACGAAAACTTCTTCTGAACACATCAAGATGCCAAAACACCTGTAAGAAATGATTTAATTGTTTAGTCAAAATCCCTGCAGGCATCCCACTTTTCAAGTTCCCACTCTCTCAATGACTTAACACAGGAAGCCCATTAATAGACTCCTGCCTGCAGAAAAGACTAGTCAACATAGTGTTTTAGAGTATACACCTAATTGAAAAAACGTAGTCGTGTTCGAAAAGGTCACATCATAGGAGCTAAGACCAAAAAGGGATTTTGAGTACCACTAAATTGGGATTACATTTGCATATACAGTGTTTAACATGGTGCACGGTAAAGCAAGTAGAGCTAGTAAGATTAACAGCATGCTAGTCTTTTATGCTGTAGAGCTGTTTGTATGAAATTAGCCAAATTGCTTCTCTTCCCAAGTACCCTTTTGGTCTTAGCTTCTATGATTTGACCTTTTTGGACCCGACAACATTTCTTCAATTAGGTGTATACTCAGGGATAGCACATATGTAGCATTCAGTCAAGTGATATAAGTGACACACAGGATAAGAAGAAAAATTAAAATCACAAAAAATATAATAAAAAAAACCCTCTATGAATACATTCCCCAAGAGACATTGTTTTGTTTTTTTGGTTTTTTTTTTTACTGTGCAAATCACAAAACTACGAGTGCCACAAATATTTTATGAATAGAAATGTTTTAAATTGTATAAAAAAAAATTCTACGCATCACTAAAGATCAACAAATAAATTAATGCCATTCTGTAGTTACAAAATACAAACTATTTTCATGTCAATAATTATTATTTTGTGGTCACATTATCATTGTGATTCTAACTATAATGCATAAACTACTTTGTTTCTAAGTAGGGAAGAAACTGGTTTATTTTTAACAGTAATTTAGTGTCTTTGTATTTTTATTATCAGGAAGGTAATGTCACCTAAATTACAATAATTACTCGAAGAATATTTGTGGCTTTCGACATTAACTGAAAGCAATCAAGATATTTCAAAAAAATTCATCTTCAGTTTATTCTTAAAAGGGGCTAGAGAAGGGTTGACATAAATTAATTGAGCATTGAGTAGTTAAAAAAAGAGATTGACTTTAGTAGTGATACAACATTTACAAATAAAAACACCTTCATTGGTACATCCAAAAAGTGAGAAACCATTCACAAAAACAACATTACTTTTCAAAATTTCAATAAGTGCTGGTGTATCACAATAAAAAGATTTCCTCCAAGTTTTTAYATTATTTATTGATAAGTGTTTTCAGGAACAAAGTCAGATAGTTCAGCAAGAACATTTGCTATTGAAGCACTTCAATTAGGTGTGAATGATGTGTTTTGCCAATGTAGTAGAAATCATTATACCAAATCCATTTGAAACTAYGTACACAAGAGGTGACAATGAAATTACACTATTTAAAATGAACTAAATTAGTGTAAAAWATTTTTACAATAAAAAAAATCTCCAATTTCCTCTTTAATCCAACCCTTGGAATTTGATCAAAGAACTTATGATAACATCTTTCCACGGCCTTCAAGTATTTCCTTTGGAGGTACTAAACAAKTTGTAGGGTTATGTTTCAAAAATAAACAMAAGTGACATCTGGAGTATGGGTTAACTAGTGCAGGTAGGGTGCAGAATTCAAAWTACTGTGATTTTGTCAYCAAAAACAGTGCTAAAATCAAACATGAGTATTTGTTATTTTTATCTTGCAGGTCAGCTAGCCCACTGCGTCAGTTAAAACTGATACAGACTTTGCCACAGAGCAAAACAGTGCTTATTACATCATTGTTGATGTGTGGGCCCCAAATTTATTTTTAAGTGCTGTTTGGCAATATAACTTAAATATACAGAATATTTGAATAACAATTGCGGATTTCCTCGGCTTTTGGTCGACATTATGGCTCAAAATCGCATCCTGTTGAGAGCGGAATAGTTCGAACGTTTGATCAAGAAAATTCATTGCATGTAAATTTCCTTGAAATTTCGCATACATACACAAAAAACAAATAAAATATTTTTAGCTTTATTTGCTGGGATATTGAGCAAGAACTTTATAAAGCTCCACAATAGCAGACTAGAGCTATTATTTAACCSTCACGCATGATCGATCGCTTTTGTTGGGGAAATGAGAGCTGAATTGTAAATTCTAAAGTCTGTAATAAAAGGAAGCTTTTGTGATCAGTGTTACAAGACGGATGAAATTTTTTGTCCAATGCCAYGCTGTGTTTAATACTTCAAAACCACGATAATAATTTGACTTCAGAGGGCACAAAACTAGTTCTATCTTATGTAATACTATTAAAGCCAATCGTGATATTCCAAAAAGATGTGTTTTTACGCCAATATATGGGATTCCAAGCAGTGACAATGCAATTTGAGGACAAAAAAGGTCGCGTTAAGCACGATAAAATGCAATCTAAACAGCCAAATTGTCGAAGCTTTATTAGACTCGCAGACTAAACTAATGAATGCTGAAGTTGTGCGCTTTAATTATTCCTCGAGACATTGGAAGAATCATACGTAGAGCATAGCGTCTTGTAGATGTCAATCACTAGGCACAAGAAGTTGCGAAGGGTCATTGTAAAGCAAGCGTATAATTTTTCAAAAATCTTATGCTCACTCCCTTTCCTTCAAAAGGAAGCTTGATCGACTACTATTCAATCAAATAACCCCTAAATTGAGCTTAACTTTTTTWAAATGCTAGAGTTTTTAGCTTACCTGTACTGCAGAATTCAAAAAACAGTTGTTTTCACCGGGATTGTTGAGGAGCCCTTTATTTTGTGCCATTGACAWCGTTCGCTCAAGTCTTTCCTGCCGATTCATCGCTTTATCTTTAAACCACGAACTTCGACAATTAAAAACAACAAATAATTGAAGAATGACGTCCAAGTTGTGAGCTTCGAGAAGCCGTTTTCACTTGTCAGCACTTCGCAAACTTAGTCACTAGAAATTCGGTCGAATTCAATTTCGGCAAAGTTGTTTATAGTAAACTTGTGATGACAGAGGGAGAAAATGCCATCGAAACGCCACCAAACTTTGGAATTACATAACTTAGACTTTAAACAGAGATATAAACGGTTTCCAGCTTTTTTCGCGGTCTGTTTTGCTTTGAAAATCCACTGAAAATCGGCATGAAGAAAGTGTTACATTAACTACCCAGTCGCCATGTTTGCTGTCTAGTTGTAGAAACGGTGACGTCATGCATTATGTTAAGCATGGCGTAAAAATTGCTTTGTCACACAATATTGCAGGGCAACTTTTATTAAGAAAACAAGCAATTATAAAGCGAAAAAATGACATTAATTTCAAATACCCTCAAAGCACAATTATTCTGCACTYAGTTTAAGTTTTTTCAACAAAATAGAGTGAATTTTGCCCTCMACTCAAAGTGGCAATCACTTCCGAAACACTACTTTGTAAATAGTAATCTTTTTTCGGCAAATCAGTGAGCTTATTTTACGTTAAAGATTTAATGACTTGGACTTAATCAATTTTTATTACCAAAAATATTCAAAATGTTCAAAATATCTTCACTYGTGTACATTTTCATATTTCCGACAATTATAAAATCACTATTACTTTGACATAGAAATATCAAAAAACGAAATTTCGCCTATATTTAATGTTTATCTCGCCAATTTGCTATATTATAATGTTTTTCTACTTCTCGTGTCGTTGATATCTCTCCTTTCACGGCCGTGACGTTCATGTTACAAGTAGTCCATGCCAACAAAACCCCGGAAATAGACTATTGACGTCACGAGGACAAGTGCCTTCACACTCAAAGCAAACTGCTTCCCACTTTATTCTGCCTATATATAGTCAGAATAACTAAATATACTTACTTCAACTAATATAGAAATTGCTAAGTTTGAAATAAAGGCAAAGCTAGTTGAACATTTTAAAGATATTTCACATTCCATTCTTTCCTAATATTGTGTGGTCAAGTTCGGAAATKATAAATGATTATAACGGTCTCCAGTTCGCCGACTTAAATAGCGCTATTAATTATAAAAACTTTATAACTATTTTGCTCAGTTTTTTTGCGGTAATCTTTTTTTTTTCTTGACCAATCCACTGAGTTTTTTATTTGCTGTCTTTAGGGCGAACATTAAAGACATTTTGCTAAACTTATGCTATATTATAAGTACCCTTTGGAGACCTATAACTGTGATTCAAGCCATTTTGTATATGAAATCAGGAAGTTGCATCATAWAAAGCTCATTTGATGAGCCTCCAAGAATATTTACACTGAAAGATTCAAGAAGATTCGTCACATACATTTCGATACATTCTCTACCGCCGATCTATCGCCAGATTCACGGATCGTGTCAAAACGAACTCTTACCAGTAACTCTTTTATATAAACAGACTTGTTGAAAATTGGTAAAGTAGTGACGTCTGAATTGCGCATGGAAAAAAATTGAAAATCGAAAAAATTTTGCCTTTCAAAATGGTGTTAATTTGTRTTTTCATGAGGTTGAAAATGTACGTGATTAAGCATAAATTATACACATGCAACGACATGGCTGTGAGCCTCGGGCAACACGGTCCATCTTCGGACTCTTCGGAAATACATGGGATGGGTCGAATCGATTTACGTTTTCATTTCGGAGATTTGGGAATATTTGGGCTTCCTGTGGCTTTTGAATTTTTAAGTGCGTCTAAAAATACGCAAATCTCGTTTATTTTCCTTTGGATTGTTTTGTATCCCTTAGACTGTTATCTTATCAGTGTCTAAACCTCAAATAATGGACCCAAATCTTTACAATTCTATTCTTGTGGCTTTAAAAACCACACGACGCCATGTTTGATGACGTCATAATGAGTTCTATTTACATTGTGTGAAGCGATTCGTTTGATTAATCAGACCAGATCGARCGTTCTGATTGGCTGGATTCTTTTTGTTTACGGTCCTTTTCGCGTCTGTGTGTTCGCATGCACGACGCGTAGCCGATCGTCCGTGCAGCATTTCAACTTGAGCACTGCGGTCAAAGATTTCAACATCTGAAAACAAGTCGTAGTGTCGTCCGATTTCAAGGGAAATCACWGYAAAAATGCCCAGGAAAGCGATGAAGGTTATAGTTGAAGTGGATGTCCATACCGTGAGTAAATGACTGCAAAATTAYCTCGCGAATTACTGAGTTTAGCACGGTTGCTAACGACGCGCAGTTGTACGTCGAAGATCTGGGATTCTTGCAATGTTAGTGGCTTAGCACTTGTAATTCTTCTTTCTCGACAGGTCACTTGTCCAGGGACATTTCTACGAGATTATGGCTATGTTTATTTGAAAGTCAATTGCATGGGTTTAGAAGTGAATACAAAGTCTGTACCACCAACATTTCCTGTGTTTCTTCACGAAAGATTACGCTTCGAACGGGTAAATTTTTTTGGGATAAACCACAACATCAGACGTTTACGCTTAATAATTCATTATACCATACTAACAAAAAGTGTATCTTCGTCGCAGGTTTTCAGAAGCTGTCAAGATCCCGCTTACGTCTCAATCCATCTAAAAGGTTTGTAAACTTAGATGTGGACCGGTTTTCAAGGTTATGTCGGCCATCTTGGGGATTTTAGTATCAGCTGTGCTCATTCCTGCATAATAAACCGCGAAATAACTAACCCTGTTTCTTTTATGGGACTTTTTAGGCGAGGATGTACTGGTTGARCTTCGACAACACGATGACTACATCTCTGGTAATAAAATTAATTGTTTGGTGTATAATTGGATTGAATTTGGAAGTCAATKTGTGTGTTTGAGTTTTGGTTCCGAATACCAAAAGTGACGGCTTTTGTAGGTGCCTAATTGAGAAGACAAAGCGCTCACTGTGCTTTTTACTGCAAAGCCAAACGAAAAAATGTCGCTTGTGTTTGCTTTTCARCAAGTTTTGTATGCTGTGAATAGATTGAATTTACAACTTCAGTGTCAATAATTTTTGTAAATGGAACACGATGTCGACTGTGAAAGAAACACTTTCTTGCGACAATCTCTGATATAGTGACATGAAGCATAAAATTTAACACATAGATGTCTGCAAACTAATGATAATATTTCGCAATGCCTTATTACTGGCCAATTCAAATTGTGTTTAAAATTGTTGTGGTATCAGATTACATTTGTTTTTGTTAAATCACAATWGAAACTCTTCCCTTTTCATAAATTTTCCTTAATAAGGCAACCTAAYATTCTTCTAAAATCAAAACAAAGTTTTCAATCATATAACAACATTCTAGTTTGATTGACATATTCATTGTCACTCTGAGCCAGTAATGTCATCTTCAATAAACTGAATTCAAAGAATGTTTATTCAAAAATTACCAGATAACAGAGCTTAGGTATCRCACAACTAACTGAATTTGCTACATTTTAAGTAATCTGGTTTCTTTGTTGCTATGGTTACAGATGGTTATGTCATTGGTCACTATGCCAACAATGCAAGAGACTTTTTGTACCCTGCCGTGACCCCATACCCTGGAACTGGCAGAGAAGTGACATTGTTTAAGACATCCCTTTTTAACCCTATTCGAATAACGGTAAGTATATATACAGAAAATTATGGTTTGCAAGTAATGTTTGTAGGTCCCTTTAAAGCACTGTTGTTCAAACTCCTCTGGGCACTGGAAGTCAAAATGATATTATCCGTTCTCTGTTTCTTCAATTTTTATCACAAAATCAATACTTTCCTTGGCAAAAAATGTCTAGAATCATATTTATTCACTCTCTTCAGTCCTATACTTGAAACGTTGTGTATATGCACTTTAAAAGGGACCTTTATTCAAGATGSAAAAGGTCAACATACAAACTAGACATGGCTTGTGATCAGCCATAAAAGCACATGGTTTTTACAGCAAATCGCATGACTGATCAGGTGACAAATACTCATTTCGAATTCCTATTTCGAATTCATAGGGACAACCACTCCGACTAGAATTCTCCACAAAAACAACAATCAAGGAAGTTCCTGATCCTGATGACTTTATATCATCTGTAAGTACAWGAACATTGAATTCTGTTTCATTTATGTGCTTGAATTACTAGAGTGTATTTATATGTCCATAAGATTATGTCTCATGGATTTTATATCTTCTAAACTTATTGCATTAAATATATATTATTGGTAATCAAAGCCTGTCAGGTTTTAAAAATGTACTGTCTGTAAAGTTTAGACTTCACAATGAAAATAGATTAAGTTTAGTAGGCACTGGTTAATTCTATGCACTGTTATAAATATAAAGTGTGCATCATCAAATGTGTGATTGAGTTTATTGGTCTTTTCAAGGCATTTTAAAATAAAGACATTTTGTCGTCTTTGAATTTCTTTTCTTGTAATCTTCTTTTCTTTGTAAATCTTTCCTGCTGTTCATCATGTTTTCACTTTCAGACCATAATCTTTTTATTCTTTATACCATTTGTTCCTTTTTTCTTTTCTTTCTCTTGTATCCTTTCCATTTTTCCCCTGCTTTTTCTTCCCTTTTTCTTTGCTTCAATCTTTTTTCATCTATTTCTCCACCCCTTTCCCTTCTCTTCCTTCCTTTCTCACTTTCTTTCACTTCTTCCTTGCTTCCTTTTTCACTTTCTGCTTGTTCTTTTTCAAGTTTTCAATCCTCTCCTCTACTCCATCCTTTCTCTTCCATTCTTTCTTTCTTTCTTCCTAGTCTTTTCTACCTTCTTTTTCATAAAACACTTTATTCAGTCCTTCTACCATCATTTTTGTGAGAAAATTTAGAAAAACTCTCAAAGAACAAAATAAAACAACCACAGACCATAGTATTTAGAGGATCCATTCGTCTTGTAGGATTCTGGGATGGAAGAAGGCTTTACAGACAGTTTATTTAAAACCAGTCGCAGGTCCCTGAGCCCAACAAGATCAAGAACGCGCTCCCCTTCGCCAACCCGACGCCAGCTTTCAAGCACCCCTAGAGTAGATGATACTTTAGCTAACCATAAAGACAAATTTWTAGTTCGTCAAAAAGACAATAAGTTGTTGGAAAATCGTGACTTTACTTCTTTTACTCGTCCAAAGCCTCGACGAAGCAGATCMAAGTCACCAACTCGTAGACCACGTTCAACATCACCAACAAGACTTGGGCAGTCTTCAAGACTTGGAATGTCTGCTGTGGAACCGCTGCCTTGTAAGTTGTTGAGTTAGGACTGGGATTAAATGAACTCTACATAGAAAATAAGTCAGTTCCTTAAAATAGAAAAGTATATCATTTTTCTTGACGTTGTTTGGATTATTGAGACTGAAGCTTGTAGCTTGTGGTACAAATTATAACATGTTGACATAAGGTATTAATTTTCTCTCTAACAACAAAGGGTAGATACCTATCAAAGATACAACTTTGCAGGCGCCGTAACACCTTTATGCATATACACACAATTCTACTTAGTGGCAAGGAAATATTAAAATTTTCATGATTTTTTTTTAATAATAATTGTCTCGATGCCCCTCAAAACGCTGGAAATCGCATTTTCATCAGTTAATATTTTTAAAATTTCCTGGCTAGGACCCCTCACTCTCCTTAATACTCCAGCCTTCAAATCAATATATACTGCATTATTGATAGGTATTATTGATAATTGATATAATTTAATATTTTTTTCACAGCCTGGAAGTATTCCGAAGATTTCCCATCCATGTCCTCAACGCGCAAACATAATCGCTCTTCAACAGCRCCATTATCATTAAGCTATTCTGCTCGGCCCTCTAGTCCATCTCGAAGCTTGCACTATGCCCTTGACGATTTAAATGTGACTGCTAGTTCAAAGAAATTCAGTGATCCATTATTGCGCTTCAAGACACGTTATTCTCCAAATCTCAAAGCCGCCCTAGGAGCGTCAGACCGCATCCAAGAAAGAGTGGAGAGAATACTGGATACTAAAGATAGAAGCTTTGTAAGTGAACTTATTGAGTTGTAATCCAACATAAAGATTAAGTTTAGAAATGAGATCAAAATATAGGCCACATAAAGCCTGGGTTGGTCATATTAAGGAGGGGGTATAAGAAAGGGGTTCATTGTACAATCCTGTGGCTTCATAGGTGGCCCTGATAAGAGAACAGTCCCCGTTTTGGATAGGTACGTGTTGCCCGCGGTCTAAATCCCTGACCCTGTTTAAGACACTAAAAAGTAAAAATCCGTACCCTGTTCAAGACAAATCGGAAAAATAAGGAATAGCTATCTATGCCGCAACCATCAAAACTACAATTATACTGACATCCATCAACGACAATAAGAAGTTTTCTGATAACACGTTAATCCTGGGACAGTGAAACGTTATTTTTTCTATTTCTATGGTGTTTTTTATGAAAATATTACCCTGTCCAAGACACACAAAAAATTATATCGGTCTTTTATCTAAATTGTAGAGCCTGTTTAAGACAATTTCGGGTGAAATGTATACCATGTTTAAGACAGCAAGGCCAAAAACCATACCCTGGCCAGCGCCGCGTCCCCGTATAGCAAATATATGGGAGTACCCCTCCCCCCCCCCCCCACGGGAGAACAGTATACCTCTGAATCTATGTTTCTCAGTCAAAGACGGCATGAAAGTCCAACCATTCAAATTTGAAGAACAAGGACAGCACTCCTTCCCTGACCCCCCACCATTTAGTTTCCCCCTACCCACTTCCCCTAGAGCCGCTATGCAGGCACATTCTCAATTTTCTCTCTATTTTTTACAGACGCAACCTGATTCAGATAATGAAAGTGTTGATTCACTAGACATTCTTAGGTAAGAACCACCAAAAAACAATTAAAATTCAAATGTATATTATCATCAAATCTTTATTAGCAATTATAATTATTATTGCTATGCAAATTAAGTCTAGATATAACTTCAAAGCTTCGATTACAAGTTGACAGCTGTCAATCAATCAAAGTGCTTTGAAGTTAAGCCACTCCGACTCCACTTTTTTCAGTGGTTTGAATTTTTTTTCCGGGCAGTGGAGTTATTGAGTGAAAATAGCTATGGATGATTCATTATTCATATTATTTGTTATGAATCGTAAAAAATATTGTATCAAGATAATTATTGGGGTGTGGCTTATACATGAGTRAATRCAATAATTRTTATCATTAATTATTATTAAGAATTAATTTAATGTTGCATCAACAGAGATTCGCTAAGGGAAGAAAGAAGAGCGATCAGTGATGCTATTCGTGAAGCTGATAGAGCGTAAGTGGATATATAGAGGATATTACATGGGCGCGCAAGAATACGGATTTTATCTTCAAGTGTTGAAAACTGGGTCTCTCAGGAGCGAGAATAGCGAATATGATTACATATGAAAGTAAATTATGTCGTAAAATTGTTTCAGTTCTTTACTTCCACTATATTGAGAAACTTCGAATGTGTTATTTTCACTAGTGAAAATAAAAACTTTACGTAATGGAGAAATAGAGGATATTTTATAGATAAATTATATGATAAAAACAAATAGGTTCCTTCTTTTTGCAATTACAATATGCTAACATTTGATTTAATCCTTGCAGAGCATATTACAAGTCCCTTGGCATTGACCTCTGAKGAAGTGTGGACAGTGTTCCGGTTTTCAGTCTCCACAGGAATCCCAAGGACTAGTGTGTACAAAAATCATGTTTTACATGTGTTTTCAACGAAGTTTCAAATAAAGGGCATTAGGACGACCTTTATTATTTCTTTGTGACAAATATATATAAATATATACATATGCTAGGTAGACCATAAATTCSTTTAAGGATTTTTAAGAGACGCCAAGGCCTGGGTCAAACGTCGAACTTAATTCTTGCAGTTCAAAAGGTTCTATTTTGTGAAAGCAAAAGACATAGTTTCAACTTATTTCTATCAGAAAAAGACATTGAGTCGCTCTTTTGCTTTACTTTTGTTGTAATAATTTATGCTTTCCAATTCTCATAAATTTGGAGGCGTCGCACCTTGTTTTTTTGAAACAATATTTTCTTTCTTGAACTATTATTAGGCACTAAACATTTAATGGAACGGAATCAAATTCAACGTTTGACCTTGGACTAAGGGCTATTTTAAATATATCAGAATCGTGATATGCCAATTTCACTGCAAAAGATATGAATGGAAGAGACAAAGTTTGGAGTAACGTTCAGTAAATAGTCTCATTTGCATCTCCCTGCGACATTTTTCATATTCTGATGGAGCTGGAAATTGCGTGAAGAAACGCATGTGAGATTTGGAGTATGAAACAGGCATTAGTGAATCTGGCAGAACTTAAATGTGCTTATTCTAATAAAAGTAATGGCAAAAGGCAATGTGCTGCGACGCCATTTTGTTCGAGAAAGCACGATGGCAGTTGTAAATATCCTGTAACAAAACCTCTCTAAAAGCCGTTCTTATGTTTTCTTTGTAGAAGCAGCACAAATACTTCTATTTCTACAAGGAAAAAGTCAAAACGGCTTAGCTAGACTGTTTAATTTAGCAGACATGAGAAGTTCAAGGACTTTTACTCCAATAATGCTTTGTTGCACAACATGGCGTCACTGCGCATTGCTATCGTAAATTTCTAATATAAGTAAATGTATGTATTTAAGAGATGATGTTTTCAGTTCGAGGATTTGCTCTTTCTAGTTTTAGTTTTTATTATCATTKTTGATCGAGTTTATTGCGAATATTAACTTCAAACATCCCTCTCGTGAACCTGCAATGTCTTGCAAGAATTTCTAATGTAAAAAGGTTTATTAAAAGTGAAAAAGATACGATGTATCTTCTCTTCMAGTTCAGTCTAGTCTAGCATTTTTATATTTTAGTTATTTAAGTACTGTCTTCTATTATTTTTTTAACGAAAATTGACTAGTAACCAAGTCTTTCTCAGCTATATACAAATTGGCGCGAAGTCRAGAAGCAGCGACCATCCTAATATGGTCTTCTAAACCTTATATAGATAGCTATTTCAATTCATAATAGTGTGCTGTATGTGATGTCAGATTCTTAAAGGTTTTTTTTATAATATTAAACTCAAAAAACAGGGAAATGTTTGTCTGTTCTTTTTCAAGCCTACATKTATTTGACAGACTTCCTTAAATATTTCCAGAGTTTCCGCATCAACCAATCCCAATTGGTTGATGTATTCTTGGTCGCCATTCGCTATACTGGCTCGCCTTCGATACTTTCTGACAAAGGCATTACATTCTGATAATAATCATCATGCAACACTGGCTCATCTTGCATTCTGTCCGAAATATCCTGATTCATCATCCAACAAGACCACAAGCTCATCTTCAATAATACTCTCCGTTAAAAGGAACGTTCTGTCTTCAACCAACTCACTGACCAACATTTCTTCAGTCTCTGAACAAGCTYTTCTTCTCCCYAAAAGGCTCTCAAATCCATGTGYACTTTWGCAGGCAAATT